GATACAGGAGAGAACCAATCAGCTGTGCCATGTGATAATGATGTCATTGGGTCAGATTGAGTTAGACCTATCGGACTGCGCCATCTAGAGTTAAATGCCAGAACTCTGTATTTCTTACTAATTTTTATTTCAGTTTTAGTTTTAGAAATTTTAGTACATCAAGTCAAACTAAATTAAAGTTCAATTAAATTCAGTATTCTCACATTTGTGTCCTTTTTTAGTACATATCTCCAAATCTGTTCTCAGATTTGAGATTTCAAAATGATCTGAGCTGCTCCAGATACATTGTATAGCTCAAGATCACAACTAGTGACTCTTTTGTCTCTGTTTTTTTAGTAAACATCTGACTTTTAGTAGAAACATCTGAGCTAAAACATTAGAGTATCAACTTAAAATCATCCTAATGTAGATTTTATTGACCAGGTGACCTTAATGACCCTCCTAATCTCTGTCTCTGATGGACGGCGGTCAGATATGTATGTCAAAGCCTGTGATCCTTCAACACAAACAGAAGCGGCTGGGATACGGATCATCTGTATTGTCTGAAATGAGTTTTTCCCTCAGGATGAAGGAGTGGAAACTGAGATAGTGAAGGCAGGTTGGATTGTCGTTAAAGACTCGCTCGTGCGCCATCGGCCTGTTTGTGTTGCTTGTGTTTCTCAGCAACGGCAAACCAAATATTTCTCATCCATGAACGCTGTACTGCAGACTGAATCAGCCAAATTCCCCACTCCAGTCTCCAGCTCGAGTCTTCAAACGTGTAAATAAACGCTGAACATGAAATGAGCCTTAAACTACAGCTGACACTGTTCCTCCATGAGTGTTATTTTAAAGGAATCATGAACTGAGAAACCAAAATTACCTTGATCTTTTGACATTTAAGAGGTCATTGTACTATAAAAACATCCTGTAAGTGTCAGAACTCAAAACTTTGTCATTAGTCTAAAAACAGCTTGCAGTCTGCCAAAACGACAGCTTGTGGAATGTTCTACTCTATGATGTAATAGTGTGGATAAGCACCGCCTCCGCAGAAGAAGATCAACATCACTGCCTGTTTATCACTGTCTGTGTTAGCCCCGCCCACCGATTCTACATCACTGTCTGTTAGCCCCGCCCACCGATTCTACATCACTGTCTGTGTTAGCCCCGCCCACCGATTCTACATCACTGTCTGTCGTCACTGCCTGTTTAGCCCCGGCCACTGATTTGGGCATATAAAAGTAAATAACGAGAGAGGCAAATGCAGGTCTATGCAAAAATCAAATGATAAAGTTGGCTCCAAAGTGGAAAAACAGTCTTTACATTGCCTTCCTTCTGATCCCAACGTTAGGAAAGAGTGAATGAACTTTATTTTTAATGAAGATCCAGACCACATCCGTAAGAACTCGGTCCTTTGTTCACTTCATTTTACTGCGGATTCGTTTACGAACAAGGCACAATTCGACGCGGGATTTTCAGAAAGATTGAGTCTACGATCCTCCACGCCTATTCAAACAGAGCGTTCTGATGAGAGGGTTAAAAACAGGACAGAAAATAGACTATTACTTCTGTATTTGAGGTTTTTTGATGTAAAAATCTTGATAACATTATAAGTAGATCTCAGAGAACAGAACAAAATAAAAAACAAAGGCAGTTCATGACCCCTTTAAGAGTGTTTGTCTGATATAACACACTGACTGTGTGTGTGTGTGTGTGTGTGTGTTTTACAGTAATAACACGCTCTGGAGTTCACTGGAAGAGCCTGATATCATGAACACCAAAGAGTTTGAGGATCTGTTCTCCAAAGCCATCGTCCAGCCCAAGAAGAAGCCGCTGTCAGACACGTACGAGAAGAAGAACAAAGCCAAGAAGGTACAAGAAATCATCAGCTCTGAGTCTGAGTTTACCTGAAAAATAATTTAAATCTGAAGTGTCTGTGTTTCTGTGACTGGCTCCTATGGGCTCACAGAGCGTTAGTCAGGAATAGATTTAGCTTTACAGTTTTTATCAGCTGCTTGCACACAAAATCTTTACTTTCACACAGTTTCTGAAAGCTGACACTCAAACAGCAGAAGCACACACCAAATCTGCAAAACCAGACACTAATTCTCGACCTTTGAGTCAGTTTTCAATTTCATAAAACACTTTTTGCAAAACACAACACACAGTTCTCTATGTAACACACACAAATCTAACAGGAAGTATCTTGATTTTCTTCTTCAAACACATCCAATCCAAATGCCACACTAATTCATCACTAACTCCTCACATGTGCTTTACTGAAAACCAACCAATCATGCTTCAGAACAGGTCTATAAACACTAGAGCCCGACCGATATGGGTTTTTTGGGGCCGATACCGATATTAGGGCGTAAAAAAAAGGCAGATATCGATATATCGGCCGATATTCTTTGTGTATATTATAGTACAGTACCAGTCAAAAGTTTGGACACTTTCCCATTCGTGTGTCCAAACATCACGAACGTGCCGGCGGATCTCCACCAAAATCGGGGGATCCCTTCAGCTCGAGGAGCCCTCTCGAACGCCACCCCCCACGCTTCGGTAGCCCCCCGGGATCGCTAGATCGGTCGGCGCCGGACCGCGAATTTAACCACCCGTAACTCCCAAACCCCGGGGGCTATCGACGCGGGGGTGGTCTCATTCGAAAGCGGGCCTCTAGACGTACACTCGATTCGCGTTCGAGAGGGTTCCTCGAGCTGAAGGGATCCCCCAAATTTGGTGCAGATTCGCCATGCCGTTACGGCGATATGGGCGTTCAAAGTTTCAATGGTTTTCCATAGACTAAGCTTTAAAGCGTTTCATCCAGGTCGCCAGTAGCAAACAATGGAGCGCGCTCTGCTCGACAAACTAAGTAATTACACCATTTCAAGCATTTTATCTGCGTTATATGTTCTGTAAAAGTAAATGTTCATATCGGCGGCATATTCGCCGATACCGATTTATCGGCGACAGGCTCATATCGACCGATAATATCGGCAAAACGATATATCGGTCGGGCTCTAATAAACACACATCTACACAACTACAAATGCTTGATGTATTTCTTTTCTTTCGTACTGTGTATAATACTGTATTCACGACTACAAATGCTTACAGTAAAAAAAGTTTGCTTTCAATCTTGCTTTCGTGTTTACCGTGAATTTTTCAACATCTCTCTGCCAATTACTTTCAGTCTTGTACAGAAATGTACACAGGAGCTCATGAAAGAAGAGCTTTAGGTTCTGAATAACTGTGTGTATATGATATATCCAAAAATATAATATTATGGCAAAGGTGTTTGCAGCGTAAAACAAATGTTTGCTTTTGAGATGTGTTTGTTATATATTGAATGCAGTGCTTCATTTTGCAAGAGATGTGAGGCATTTTGCATTTTGTGTGTGCCATTCTTGGATTTGTGAGGCAAAGTCACATGTTTTTTCCACTAGAGGGGGTTTCAGTCACATTCTCAATGTTCATTTGACATCTGAGTTTGTTGAATCCTCCATTAACAGCGGTTATGGTGCTCATTGCTCTTTGAGGAACTTATGCTTAGTGCTTGCATATAATAAGCTCGTTTGAGCCATTGTTCCCATCATTCCCTCTGTGCTCCAGTGTTTAGTGTGGTTTTGATCAGACGTACAGGTTTGACCGTCTGCTGTGATTCCAGATCAGCAAAGATCAGCTCATCTGAGGTTTAAAAGATAATATGTGACCCTGGACAACAAAACCAGTCATAAGGGTCAATTTTTTAAAATCAGTATGAATAAATAAGCTTTCCATTGATGTATGGTTTGTTAGGATCGGACAATATTTGGCTGAGATACAACTATTTGAAAATCTGGAATCTGAGGGTGCAGAAAAATCTAAATATTGAGAAAATCAGTATACGTGATTACATAAGTTCTTAGCAATGCATGTTACTAATCAAAAATTAAGTTTTGATATATTTACGGTAGGAAACTTACAAAATATCTTCATGGAACATGATCTTAACTTAATGATTTTTGGCATAAAAGAAAAATCGATAATTTTGACCCATACAATATATATACCCATAACAAATATACCTGTGCTACTTATGACTGGTTTTGTGGTCCAGGGTCACACACACATATATGGTGTGTACTGAATGCAGTACACTCAATCTGTTTTCCCTCACATGGAGGGCTATGAAGTACTGATGCTTATTAATTCTGTTCTATTGACATTTCCCCCATAGGCTATGATTTCTCTGAGGTTCTGCGCTGGTTTGGAGAGCGAGTGGACCGTATCATTCTCCTCTTTGATGCCCATAAGCTAGACATATCTGATGAATTTTCTCAAGCGATCAAAGCTTTCCGTGGGCAAGATGACAAAATCCGTGTGGTACTGAACAAGGCCGATCAGGTGGACACTCAGCAGCTAATGCGGGTTTATGGTGCGCTGATGTGGTCTCTGGGGAAGGTGATCAATACTCCAGAGGTGGTGAGGGTCTATCTCGGCTCTTTTTGGGCCAAACCTCTTCAAAATGCAGAGAACCGGCATCTGTTTGAAGCCGAAACACAAGATGTCTTCAGAGACATCCAGAGTTTGCCTCGCAACGCTGCCCTGCGTAAGCTGAATGACCTCATCAAAAGAGCTCGTCTTGCTAAGGTAAGGGTTTTAATGTCACAGTCCAAACACTTAGCCATGCATTTTTATTCTTTTAAAAAGTTGTTTAGTGCTATTTATATTATTGTAGTATAGTTATAATAAGAGATGTGTTTTTAGTCTATTCTTGAAGATGGCTTTAAAGTTTAAACATGTAAAACATAAAATGTTTTTATTTGTGGGATTTTAAAACATTTTCTAGCACTATACAAACATATTTATCAAAATTACATAGATTAAAATAATACAGTCTAAAACAGACTGAACCAAACCAAAAACAAAACATCACAGCATAGAACAAACAAAACAAAACAAACCAAACCGTGAAAAATAAAACAAATAAAAACCGAAACAAAAGAAAAAACAAAACAGAACAAACAAATCAAAACATAAAGCAAAAAAATTAAACAAATAAAAAGCAAAAACTACAACAGACCAAAAAAAACCAAAAAAACTAAACCTAAAACAAAAGTAGACAAAAAAAGAGCAACTATTGCTCTGAGGTGAGCGTGATTTGACCAAGTACAACATGTTCCTGGATCAACATCCTTGTTGATCCTGGAACATCATTCCAATCAACCAATCAGAAATTAGATAACTTATCAGGAAATGTCAGTTTTAGGCTTACAATCTACACTCTTGTTAATCAGCCATAAATTCCCTCTGATTTTAGGAATAAATTATGGGTAAGGTTAGGTTTAGGGGTAGGGATTGGGTTAAGTCTGTTTTTTTTGGACAGTAATGTTGATCCAGGAACATGTCTTACTTGGCGAAATCACGGCGACCACACACACACACACACACACACACACACATATATATATATATATAAGCCAAGTCAGAAAGTCAACTTTATTTCTAAAGCACTTTATACAATATAGATACACTGTAAACAGAAATGCAAGGGGGTAAAAATAATTTCTTTCTCACAACACTGATGTCAAAACAAATGATGTCTAAGTGTTTTCACACATGATGTCTGGCTGTAGGTCATCAGTAAATGAGTGTGGCATTTCAATGGCAGTGTTTCCCAAATGAAACATGAGAGCTGTTAGTTTTAAGTGATGTGTGTAATGTAGAGAACTGTGTTTAAAGTTTGTTTTACAATAGCAAACTGAGTGGTTTTGCAGACTTGGTCTGAAGGTTAGGTATACGAGTGAATGGTTTCACTAAGTGGGCCTTAAGTACCACTTTTAGTCTAAGCAATTTTAAAAACTAATAGACAAGAATATTACTGATTTAACTGCACTGACACTGTCAGATGTGAACTAACTTGATCTGAATAGCGTCTGTTGTCTTCTGTAGAGCAGCTGAGTTTGTTTCATAGTCAATGAATTTGACAGCATTGACACTGTAGTCTGAAATCCTGAGGTGAGTTTTCTGATGAGGCAGAAATGTCTCGGTCAGCAGCGAGTGATTGTGCTGGTCAGCACACTTAAACATTCAGCCTGGACCCAAAGCGCTCCAGACACTCCTGATCAATCAGCCGGGGCTCCACGACTCCTCTCTGTGTGTGTGTGTGTGTGTGTGAGAGAGAGAGAGTGTGTGTGTGTGTGCAGGTCACTCCTGCTACATCATATGAGAGTTTTAATTGTGCTTCTCACTCTCTACATCTTCTAAGTTCCTGCAAAATCAGCTCTTACAAACAGTGCTTTTTATTACTTATTTATTAAGGGGAGAAAGGTTTGAATATCTCCAGTTATCAGAGTAATTCATAGCTCATTGCTCATTTATAGCTATTTTTCCATCCAAGTTAAACTTGTGTGAAAAGTTAGAATATTGCATAAAACATTTGCAAATAAGGCGCTATTTCCATCCCATGTGTTCAAAAGAACAAAATCACCACTTCATGGGAAAATGGCTCAAAAAATTAAATAATAAATAAATAATTAAACAATTAAATGATAATTAATAAAATCATAAAAATATCTAATTAAAATAAATAAATAATTTAAAAATGAAAAATGAGCAATCAAAATAAAACACTTACTAATAATTAATTAAATAATTAAAATGGCAAATTTAAATAAATAGTTTTAAAATAAAACAATCCAAATAAATATTTCATTTTATTTTATTTTTAAAATCTTATTTATTTATTATTTTTGGACATTTTATTCTTTTATTTCATTATTTTATTTTATTTATAAAATAAAACCTATATAAACTAAATATTTAAAAACGATATAGACATATTTAAAAAAATAATACAAATGACAAACAAAACAAAATTACTAAAGCTT